ATGCTTGTTTGCAATCCTTGTCCATATATTTTTTAAAAATTAATGTAGCTCTAATCAGAGCATAGATATCATTCTGTGTTCTGCTTTTTTTTCTGTGTCCTGTGTCCACTTAGTATTACATACTAAATATTTCCCACCAGAAAAAGTTTGCAATGAACAGTACAGACACTTGAGGGAAGCCCAGATATATTTTACCTTCTTTTGGGGAAAGCTGACATTTGGGCCTTGGAGTCTGTCTCTTGGCCTTGAGATATTTCATTCATGCTAAGCCTGAAGTTTTTGCTGACAGAAGATATAGTTCCCGTCTTTTATAGGAATGCATTTAACATCTTATCAGTAATATGACGTTTGCTGTAGGTTTTTCAGAAACCTTTTTTTTCATTATAAAGTTCTCTTCTATTACTAGTTTGCTAATTTTTTAAAAAGTCATAAATGTTGAATTTTATTGAATGCTTTTTCTGCATCTTTTACATCTATTGAAATGTTCATAGAATTTTTTCCTGTTAATCTGGTGAATATGGTGCTACTGACAGATTTTTTTTTTTTTCTTTTTTTTTTTTTTAATGTTTAACCATCCTAGCATTCCTAAGATAAAACCTACTTGTTCTCTATGGATTTTTATATGTACTGTAGAATTAGCTAATAAATGAGTTTTATATGTGTGTTCATAAATGAGATTGGCCTATAATTTTCTATTCTTATAGTATCATTATTGGCTTTTGGTATCAAGGATATTCTGACCTCATAAAATGAGTTGGGTAACTAAGCTGTTTTTCTAATCTCTGAAACCATTTGGTAGGGACTAGTGTTTCTTTAAAACATTTGAGCCTGGTGTCTTTAACAGGGGTAGATTTTTCATTACTAGTTTGATTTCTTTAATGGTAATTGGTTTTTCGGTTTTACATTTCTTCTGGAATCAATGTTGGTACTTTATTTTTTTCTGCTGAACAGTGTGGGAGCTGGAAAGTAAGATGCAGTCCATATTCTTCAGATAATTAGTTCAGTAGTAGACGGAACACAATCGGTAGATATATGCAATCTAAAATGCATACTATGCATTGAAAAAAACTATGGAGGTTATTTATAAAGGACAAATTAGTTTGGTGTTGGTTTAAATAGCCAGATAATATTCTCAATCACTCCCTTTGGCAAACCCTGTAACCAATTCACCTTCTTAAAATTTCAGAAACATACAATTTGTGTTTGGTTTTCAAATGATTGTCATCTGTTTAGTAGCTAATACAATCTATTTCCAGTATATTTTAAGTACAAATGCTTTTGCACTTACAATGGGGTTACATCCAATAAACCCATCATAAGTTGAAAATATCGTAAGTGGAAAATGCATTTAATAAACCCAACCTACAGAGCGTCATAGCTCAGCCTAGCCTGCTTTAAATGTGCTCAGAAAACTTCCATTAGCCTGCAATTAGGCAAAATCATCAAACATAAAACCTATTTATAAAGTGTTGAATATTTCATATAATTTATTGAATACCCATATTCAAAAGATGCTGGCAACACAGCACACATTAGAGCATTGGTTGTTTACTCTCCTGATGGTGTGGCTGCCCAGCATCAAGAGTATCATACTGCAAATCGATAGCCCAGGAAAAGAGCAAAATTCAAAGTACAGTTTCTACTGAATGCTTGCTTTTGCACCATTGTAAAGTTGAAAAGAATTTAAACTGAACCATCATAAGCTGCAGACTGTGCATTTTATATTGAAAAGTTAGTATTTTTAATTTTTGACACAGGGAAGTACCCAAAGCATAAGAACATACACATTTTCACAAAGTGAACATAGTCATGGAACCAGCACTCATATCAACTAACAAAATATTTTTTGTAGTTTATGCAAATGAACTCATATAATGTTCATCTTTTTGGGTCTGCCTGCTTTCATTCAATATTAGATTTGTGGGTTCATCTATGCTGTGTGTAGTTCTTTCCTATTCTTTATACAGTGTTCCAAAGTATAGTATATTATAGTTTACCCATTCTACTCTTGATAATAAGCATTTTCACATTTGGGCTATTACAAATAGTGCTGCAGTGAACATTCATATACATATCTTTTGGTGAACATGTGTTACATTTCCAAGTAGAATTGCTCGGTGATAAGAGTATGCATACTCTTAAAACATGGTTGTACCAATTTACACCTCTATGACAGTGGTTCCATACCCTTGCCAACTTCATTTTGTTCATTTTAGGCATTCTCATGGATGTATAGTGTTATTGTATTTTGGTTTTAATTTGCATTTCCCTAATGACTAATGCAGTTGAACACCTTTCCAAATGATAATTGGTCATTTGGACATCATCTTTTGTGAAGATCAAGTCTTGCTCATTTTTCTAATGGGTTATTTGCCATTTTTCTTACTGATTCCCAGGAATCCTTTCTATATTCTGAATACCAGTCCTTTGTATTACAGATATGTTGTACTCTGTGACTTGTTTTATTTTTCAGTTTTCCAGTTTATGTTGCGATTGTTTTGCTTCATCTCAGACCAACAGATTCTAAAGCTTAATTAAGTTTTTTGATCAAACAGACAAAAACCCAACTTGGATACATTGGAGTAAAAACTGCTTCTCTCACCTGCTCTACTTAATTTCCCTTCAGCGTTTCTAGTGAGTCTTACTACATGCACAAATAATAAATACTTTTATGCTGTTTAATGTTCAGGTTCTGACTAATAAGAAGACGACGTTCTTTGGTGGCAATTCTATCTCTATGATTGATTATCTCATCTGGCCCTGGTTTGAACGGCTGGAAGCAATGAAGTTATATGAGTAAGATATTTGAATATTTTGTGCATAATCTAGGATGACAGTTGGCATAGTATATATTGACCTTTCTTTTTAACAGAAGTTAAAATATGTAATACAACTGGTCTGAATGAGAACAAGCAGTCGGGAGTCTTGGACTATCCAGGGCATGTCATATACCTACACTAACTACTCTCCATCACTGGGAGGAGGCAGGGATTTCTGTGACATGTAGTAAAGTGCTTTAAAATGTACTCCTTCCTTCCTGATTACAAATCCATAAGGGGAAGGGTACGGTGGCTTATGCCTGTAAGCCCAGCACTTTGGGAGGCCGAGCTGGGTGGATCATCTGAGGTCATGAGTTGGAGACCAGCCTGGCCAATGTGGTGAAACCCCATCTCTACTAAAAATACAAAAATTAGCTGGGCATTGTGGTGCACACCTGTAATCTCAGCTACTCGAGAGGCTGAGGCAGGAGAATCACTTGAACTCGGGAGGCGGTTGCAGTGAGCCGAGGTCATGTCACTGAACTCCAGCCTGGGCAAGAGCAACACTCTGTATCCAAAAAAAAAAAAAAAAAAAAAATCCATAAGGTTGTAAATTTTTATAAGGATGTTGTTGCCAGATTGTATGATCAGTGTTACCTCCCATTTACCAGTAGGATTTCCACATTATTTTCCAAATTCTGTTTTGAGTTTGGCAGCTACCTTGCCTTACTCCCGCTTCTTGGACATTAGAGCTATTCAGGGTTACTTTTGGTCATAATCTGGGTGTAGACTAATTAACATAGAACATTCCTGATTGTATTGCCTGTTCTCATTTTAATAAATTGTCAGTTTCTCTCTTTGGGCAAGTTCTCACATTGACAAGTCGCTTCACTCTAGTCTCATTCCTCTTGGGTAAAAAAGGAACCTCTATAATGTCTTTCAAATTGAATATTCTATTACATGCATTTTAAAATATTTTTAATGAAATATTTAAGGGGAAAAAATGAAACTGTAGAGTAATAATGACATTTGGGAGACTCTGTGATGTCATCCTAGTTGACCTAGCTCACACCTTTCATTTTTTCCTCTTCCCACAGGTGTGTAGACCACACTCCAAAACTTAAACTGTGGATGGCAGCCATGAAGGAAGATCCCACAGTCTCAGCCCTGCTCATTAGTGGGAAGGACTGGCAAGGTTTCCTAGAGCTTTACTTACAGAACAGCCCTGAGGCCTGTGACTATGGGCTCTGAAGGGGGCAGGAGTCAGCAATAAAGCTATGTCTGATGTTTTCCTTCACTAATATGAATAATAGCATGCTTTTATTTTACCAAGGGTTCAGGTTGCATGGGATCATCTTCTCTGATGTGACATCGACAGCCTAATGGTGGGGTCTCCTTAAGGCCCCGCTACAGAAATGAAAATGCATTTCCTGTCTCAACATGCTAAAATGACTCTGAGGGTTCTACCATAGTCCATGCTGAAAAGCCCCAAATTATCATCTTTAGCAAAATCTGGACTTCAAACTTTTTTTTTTTTTTTGAGACCGAGTTTCACTCTTGTTGACCAGGCTGGAGTGCAATGGCCTGATCTCGGCTCACCGCAACCTCCGCCTCCTTAGTTTAAGCGATTCTCCTGCCTCAGCCTCCCAAGTAGCTGGGATTACAGGCATGCACCACCACACCTGGCTAATTTTTTATATTTTTAGTAGAGACGGGGTTTCTCCATGTTGGTCAGGATGGTCTCAAACTCCCGATCTCAGGTGATCCGTGCGCCTCAGCCTCCAAGTATTGGGATTACAGGCATGAGCCACGGGTGGCGCCACTCCACGATCTAACTTTATAACTGCTCACAGGAAATTTCCACTCGGTTACCCTGTTGTGTGATTTCAAGAGATGCTCTCTCGTTACTTGTCTTCTGGTTTCTTACTTGAGAAGCTTTCAATTCCTTCTTTCATTTCCATCATCAAGTTAATTTCACATTCTCTCTATTGTTGGCACTGAAGACCAGACGCACATTACCCCAAAGGTGGGTGGCTGGGCAGATTCCTAGCTGGTCTCCCAGTCTCTAACCCCTTCAAATCCTTCCTATCAAATCCCATGCTGGGCACATACGTGGTGTACCACTTATGTAATTAAATACTGTGTAGGCTGCATCAGTCAATTCCGCCTATAGGGTTGATAAGTAATAAGAACCCCACTGAGAAATAGTAATGCCATCTTCCACACATTTTCATAGCCCACTGGGTTTCTCACTATTCAATTTTTATCATCACATCACCACCACGAGAAGGTAGATCGAAGAGCATCATTTCATTCTACAGATGATGCAACGAAGGTCCCGAGTTTAAGTGAGGCCTTAAGGTGGTGGCAGAAAGATCACAGCCAGCGCACTGCTCTTACCATCGGAATCAGGGCTGTCGGTCCGCCCCAATTGTCTGCTTTCCTGAACTTATTTTCAAGTTCGCCATTGAGAGAAACCTCCGAATGACTAATTCTTAAATTTAAGGGTGCATAATAATCACCTATGGCTCAACGCAGCATTTCCGATTCAGCAGGCTGGGGTGGGCCGCGAAGTCTATATCTGAAATGAGTCCCTCGCGCCAGGTGACGCAGGCGGTGTAGGGACCGCACCCGGAGGACGACCTGGAGCCGCCTGACTTCACAAAGGCCTCCTGCCGCCCACCTTCAGCGGCCACCAGCGCCCCGGCTGCCAGCAGCGGACCACCTCTGCGGCTGCGCGCCTACCCCAGCAAGCTTAGCCCTAGTGGTTTCCGGCGGATTTCCTCTCCGGTGCGGAGCCGGGTGCCGGGTCCCACAGCCAATCACTACCGGTTCCTCTTTCGTCAGCCACCAGAGCCGGCAGCACCCGCGAATCCCGATCACCAAGAGCCTGTAAGGCGGCCGCCCATTGGCTCAGCCGCACTGCCGGGCAGGCGCTTCCAAAGCTTTGAGGATTGGCTGACGCTCCGGGCGCCGGAGCTAGTTGGCGGGTAGGATCACGTGCGAGGGACAGGCCCCGTCTAGGCCCCGCCTCCTTGCTGCTGCCGCCGCCAATCCTGGTCCGGTCTCGTGCGTTCCCGGAGGTCCCTCGCGGGACGTCTCTCACAGCCACCGGGTGGGTCCGTTCGGCCTGTGTTGTATTTGAAGGAAAGAGGGGTTTGAGGTCAATTCTGTTTGTTGGGGTTTTCACGAATTTCAGGGCCCACAGTAGGCTTGCCAATTTTAACTTTTGCCTAACACTTTACGAGAAATCCTATTTAACCTTGACCACTGTTGCATCAAAGAATTTCACATCCAAAAAAGTGCAGCCTAAGAATAAAGAACAGGTCTTCAAACTGCATACCTTTAATTAAGGTGTTCTTATTTTTCTGATTTGGCTGGAAACGGGCAGAGACCACCCCAGATAACCAGTTCTTAGCCTTGGGTGGGACACCACGAATTTATGCCACGTGTTTACGGCACTGGCAGGTAGGGGAATTTGGTTTCTGGGAATGTGCTGTCTTTGTGAAAACTATGAAAAGCCTTCCCTGCTACACTGAAATAATCATAAAAATAATAATAGCTAATGTTGAATACCTACTAGGTATACTAGGTATCAGACACATGCTAAGCATTCAATGTTTCTCATCCAGTTTCTGAATGAAACCTCTACAAACCACATAATGTACTGGTACTATTAGCTACAAATTACATATAAGAACACCAGAAAGTTGTTGTCATTTGCCCAAGGTCACCCAGTTAATAAATGTTGAAGAGATTCGAACCTAGCCTGAACTCTTACAGTAAGACCATTCTTGAGATGAATTTATGTGTGCTATTTTTCCTGTCTGTTTTTATCCAACAGCTCTCAAGAGAGGATAGTATCTACCTTTTTGACCACACCATTATTACTGGGATTTAACAGGAGTTAATGTTCCTTTTCTAAACTAAATGGTTTTGATTTTACAAATTATTTGACTTTTACTGATTTCAGGATCTTGACAATTTGCCTTTACTTATTCAGATGTTATTATACCAAATATTTATTTTTAAAGTTTTTTTTTTTCTTTGATTCCCCAAGTTGTAGAGAGATAGGGATAGGGAAGCAGAATCAAGTACTTAAAAAGATAGCCTCATTTGACTCTGATTTCCCTATAGGGAATATGAAAAATTTCCCGGATATAGGCACATTTGAGAACAGAACCTTTTACCTAACTGATCTCACTTTTTGAACTTATTGGACAATGAGGGAACACCCAGTAATATAATCTTTCATGTAAATTAGGCTTCTAACATACTAAGAGGAATGTACTCCAGTTTCTGCTACTATCAAGAGATGGCATGACAAAAAATTTTGAAAAGTTGCCAAATGCAAACCACAGTTCCTCTTCTCAAAACAAATGCATGTAAATAGAGTATAAGTTATTTCTTTGGTGGCATTATTTTCCTAGAAGGCTTAAGTCATTAATCACCCACGACCAAAGATCCAAACATTTTCAAAACAGATCTGATTATATTTCAGGTGGCTGAAAATGGATTTGAAGTAGGTTTAATATGGTCTAGTTACAATTTGTTTCATGATTGAGTGGGTCAGTATAATAAAGATGTAAACACGAAATAACATAGAAGGAAAGTTTGCAAAGAGGATTTCAAATTTAAGTACCTGCTGGGTATTCAAAAGAAAGTAGGGATAAGCTTGAGGTTAAAATCTTTCTAGGGAAAGTATAGTGTTCAGAGGTAAGATTAAAAACCACATTACTGAAATGGAGTCTGCAGCATTCAACCCATTCAATTGGCATTAAACTGGTAACTGGTGAAATAAGTATTGTGAGTTGAACTTGAATTCTAATATGCTCTGCAAAGCCGAATCACGATGTACTTCATCTTTATGGATACAAAATTGGAATGCACTCTGTTATAAAAAATATGTTCTTACTCACTAGCATTTGTCATTAACTTTGATGTATACTGAGCTCTTACTATACTGATGATGCCCTGGACTATTTGATTCGATACAACAACTCAAAAAGTAGGTATTATTGGCGTTCTCATTTTGCAGATGAGGAAAGTGAAAGTCAAAAAGGTTAGATAGCTTGCTTAAGTGCCAAAGCTGGGTCTCAAAAAGTCAGCCCATTGGGCTCCAGGGCCTATTCTGAGAACCTTGACACTAGATTGCTTCCCTTTAGAGGAGAACAGCTTCCATCCCTGTCTTCTGACTCTACCAAATTAACTTGGCATTTCAGAACTTGATTTCCCACATACAGATATACTTTTCATAAACATTTCCCAACTCTCAGAGTTAGTTTCTTTTAAAAGGTGGGAATGAAGAAACAAAACTTGGAAAATCATCCTCATCTGGCAAAGTAGAAAGGTGGATCCAGGAACCTTTTAATTTACAAATGGAATTCCCAGTTTGGCCATTGTTCAGAGACCATGGATGGGCAAACTAAGGCCATTGGGTTAAATCCAACCAATTGTTGGTTTTTGTATAGCTCAATATCTAAGAATGATTTTTTACATTTTTAAAGGGTTGAATAAAAAACCAGTCACAATGTGATATGTGAAAATTATATTAAATCCACTGAGAGTGAGCCCTAATATATTAATTATGGATGTTGGGTGGTAATATGTCAATGTGGGCTCATTGATTATAATAAATATACCTCTCTGATTGGAATATTGATAGTGGGAGAGACTGAATGTGCGGGGGCACAGCATATATGGGAAATCTCTGTATTTTCTGCTCAATTTTGCTGTGAATCTAAAACTTTTAAAATAAAGGCTATTAAAATATATATATGAAGTTCAAATGCAGTGTGTCCATAAATACAGCCACACCCATTTGGTTGTTTATCTTCGATGGCTGTTTTTACACTACAAGTGTAGAACTGAATAGTTGAGATCAGATGGCCTGAAAAGCCTAAAATATTTAATATTTGTAAAAACATTTGCCAACCATTCAGTTCATTGCATCTGATAAAGACTAAGATACTAGTTGAGATTGTTGCCGCTGGAGTCAAACTTCCAGGGTTCCTAGTCCTCCCTCTTCCACTTACTAGTTGAGAAGTGTTTAACTGTGCTAATCTCAGTTTACTCATCTTTTAAAGTGAATCAAAATAGAACAGTAATGGGACAATTTTTTTTTTTTTTTTTTAAGACGGAGTCTTGCTCTGTCGCCCAGGCTGGAGTGCAGTAGTGCAGTCTCAGCTCACTGCAAGCTCCGCCTCCCAGATTCGCGCCATTCTCCTGCCTCAGCCTCCCTAGTAGCTGGGACTACAGGTGCCCGCCATCGCACCTGGCTAATTTTTGCATTTTCAGTAGAGACGGGGTTTCACCGTATTAAACAGAATGGTCTCAATCGCCTGACCTCGTGATCTGCCCGCCTTGGCCTCCCAAAGTGCTGGGATTATAGGCATGAGCCACTGCACCTGGCCCAGTTATGGGACTATTTTAAGAATTAACTGGGTCAATACACATGAAGCACCAAATAGTTATTAGTAAAATTTATTTTGATTTTGAGATTTTGCATTCCTCTTATGGCCTTTTTTAGGCTATGGATATATTTTTCTCAACTGTCTTGAAATCTGCTTTGTTTACATGAGGGATACATATGTATGCCCAGAAGTCATCTTATCTATCAGGAGCTCTAACATGACATGGTTATGTTTCTTGCTTCTATTTTACCATCCAGTTTGTCCTTCTTGATCAGAATTAGCTCCAAAGTAATAGAAGTTACTCTATTACTTTCTCTGTCTTCCTAAATGAAAAGTCAGCTTAGCAAGCCAGGAACCAATATGTCTTCTCCAACACCAGATTTCTTGCTGACATATATGCTTTTTATTTTCAGAGAATATTTATTCAAACATTTTTGCCATTCCCTAATTCTTGTAAAATGTTAATACTTTCCATATTATTATCTAAGCTTATGTCACATGAAATCATTGAATGACAGCAAAAAATGTAGTTGAGTCACTATTCTGAAGATTTGCAAAGATTCTTATTCACTAGCAAAAAATGTTAACACTATTATTAACCAAGAAGTTCTGGATAGACTGGAACTCCAAAGGCCTAACAGTACCCGTTTATAAGCTACATAATTAGGCTCCGTCATTTTAATAAAAGATATTTACATTCAACTATTATTTGTTGAGTAGCCATTATATGCTATATCTTTTCCTGGACTTAAAATCCTTTCTTCCCAGCACTGTTACCAGTTTTAAAGGTCAAGACAACGAGTCAAGCTTTGGACTTTTTAAGTTCTTCAACCCTACTAGCTGGTTACTTTGGGCAAATAATTTCATTTCTCTGAAGCTGTTTTCTGTTTTGAAAAGTAGGAATAATATGAGTTGCCTGACAGAGCAATTGTAGGAATCAAGGTAATCTTTGGAAATAATTTAGTCAGTATGAGTGAGACACAGAAAATATTTTTCTTTCCTTCATGACCTGAAGGTCATTTGCCACCAAATGAATTTACATGCAATTCCCACAGCAGCCCAATTCTGGAAAATTTAAGGAATTATTTTTTTACCTGCTGAAATTCAAGATCTCAGCTTATCAGCATCAGAGCCAAAGCCACCTCCATTATCTCACATAAACAGAAAAGCTGTGCAAGTGGCCCCTATGGCTGGGCTGATGCAATGTATCCTTAGCATCTAGTAAGAGTGTTCTCAAAAATTTATGCCGGGGAAGTGAGGGAGCTCACAAATTGTTCTTTGCCTCCAGGTATCTTAATTTTATTCATTGCTGGTTTTTCAGAGCTTGGGTAAAACCTCACAAGTAGGGACAGGACTGGGATGAGGCAACTGAGGTGTCTAGGGTGCAAAATGTGAGCTGTCTAGACACCAAAGGTGTCTAGGTGTCTAGCGGGCACTGACTCTCCAGCGTATGTGAGATTTCAACACCAATAACTTTTTATTTCCTAGTTGCTGTATCATGAGAATGTTTGGCCTTATTATTTTTTAAAGCTGTACTTACAGAGGTGTGGCCAATTGTCTTAGTGATGCAAGAGATTCAGAATGGAAAAGAAAAAGTCAGCGTTACCCTAGTCGATTTTGATTAAACTCCTTTGAAATCCATGTTGGAGTTTAAATGCCCATTCTTGAGGAATGCTTGATATAGAGGAGGCCCCTCCAAAGCTTTAAGCACATGTTCAGAGCAAGAGGGAGCTTTTCAGGTGTTATTTTGTCTTGTTTTGTTTTTTGCCAGCTCCTACTCTTGGGCTTCCAAATCTGGGGCGATGTCTCCCCAGGTTAAATTATCCTAGCTCCTGCTCCAGATCGCTTTCCCTCTGCCCCGCCAGAGCCCAGTAGTTCAAAAATTAAATTTGGGGCAAGAGGTGCGCTCCAGAGCGCAGCTGCTTCTGGACCCTGCGGCAGCGGTGGCGAGCCACAGGGCGGCGACCGTGAGCTCCGGGAGCTGCGCAAACAGCTGGAGACCATGTCTCAGGATGCGACCAGGACCCTGGGGAAAGGTGAGTGCTCTCCATGGGGTCCGCGAGCTGGGGGCGCCGCGTGAGAGAAAATGATGGCTTCGGTGGAACTGCCTGGCCTTGGCCTGCAGACCAGCGGGGCAGGAAGGGACTTGGAGGGCTCTCCTGAAGAAAAGCCACGTGCAGCACTGTCCTCTCTGGGACTTGGGAGTTGGAGCTCCCACAGCCATCCTGGGATCCGGGCAAGTGAGCGAGCTCCCTCCTCACTGGGCTGACTAAGCCTCTCCTTTCCCTGTCCCCCTCCATCGCTGCTCTGCAGGAAGCCAGCCCCCAGGGCCAGTCCCGGAGGGGCTGATCCGCATCTACAGCATGAGGTTCTGCCCCTATTCTCACAGGACCCGCCTCGTCCTCAAGGCCAAAGACATCAGGTGAGAAGCGGGAACCCAGAGCCCCCGAGCAAACCCAGTGCCTCACAGGAGCCCGGGAATGTTTAGCATCTGGGGCATCTGCTCAGATTTTAGAAGGGGCTCCCTGTCCTTTTTTTCCGGAGGCAAAGTCAACAAGTAATTAGCAAAGGGCGGGCATTTTTTTAGCGGGCCCTCCTGAAATGCGGAGCCCTTTTCCGAGTCCTGTAACTTCTAGGCCAGCGCAGAGGAATCTGAATGAGGGGGCTGGTGAATTGGTTCCCTCCCAGAATGTTTAAGGGCGCAGCCAAGGCTACTGAGGCCTCTCCTGACTGCTCCACAGAGGTAGTTCCCCCACCACACCCCAGGCATCTTAGGTCACCTCTGTTTCCTTTCGTTATTGAACTTACTGCGTCCAGCATTTTCTTATTTGTTCGTCCATCTCCCCTCCCCAGTCCCCTTCACCCATGTGAGTTCTCCAGGGTAGGAACTCTGTCTCTTTTATTCATGAGCTAGGAGAGAGCCTGTCACATAGTGGGTGCTCAAAAAGTATCTGTTAAATGAATGAACAAATCTTTCCAAACAATGAAATAAAAGGAATTGCTATCAAGAGGTGTCTGGAAGTTTTCAAGACACCTTGAAAACTTGAGAAATGGGTATAGATTCTTCCAGAAGGAAGTTTGCAAGACCAGCTCTTGCAGGTCTGGATCTGGAGGGCAGAGCAGCTTTGCTGGGATGTGGACTGCATAATACAGCTGGCCTCCAAGCTAGAGTGTTGAGAATGTGTCACTCCAGGTTCCTGACTCTTGTCTCAGAGAGTCCATCACAAGGGGGTGACTTCAGAGTTTCAGACTCATGTCAGAGAGATACAAAGACTAAGATAGAGATATTTTAAATAAAATTATGTAAATCCACCTTGTTGAGTATATAGGGCCTATATTTCCAGATTCTTCCCTTTTGCTCAAATTAAGTTGACCTTAAGGTTACCTGTTTTTTGAGGAAAATAACAACAACAGGATGTTTGCCCATTTGGTGATAAATTATCAGCCTAGGAGCTGATGTATTTTCTTAGGGCAGGGTTTCTCAACCTTGGCACTGTTGACAATTTGGGCCAGATAATTCTTTATTGGAGAGGTGGGATAGGAGCTGTCCTATCCATCGCTGGATGTTTAGCAGTATCCGTGGTCTCTACCCATTCAGTGGTCTCTACCCATGACAGTAGAGTCCCCCTTCCCTATCCTCTATCTTCAGTTGTGACAGCAAAACAATGTCTGCAGACATTGTGATATGTCCCTTGGGAAGCAGGCCAAAAATCATCTCTAGTTGAGACTCACTGCTTTAGGTTTTTTAGGTCTTTCTATGTGGCCTATGCTGGTCGCGAACTCTTGGGCTCAAGCAATCCTCCCATCCTGGCCTACCAAAGTGCTGAGATGACAGGCATGAGGCACCTCATCCAGCCTCTGCTGTAGGTTTTAAGACAATCTCCTAGACTAAGCAACGAATGTTCCCATTTGTTTCCTTTCATCTTTTTAAACATATGTTCATGCTTCTGGCAACTTTATAGTTATCTAAATAATAATTGTATTATTATGTGAACATTAAATAATAGTATTATTTGAACATCTAATAATTAGAAGAAGAATTAAAAAGTTATTGCATGCTTACGTGCCAGGCACTGTCCTAAACACTTTACACATATTCACTTACCTGATCACCACAGTACCAAGAGATGGGTGTAATTCTTAGCCCCATTTTATAATTAAGGACACTGAGCCCAGAGAGGTTAGGAATTCGGTTAAGGCCCCAAGCTAGACTGTTCAGTCTGATGCCAAAACTCATGCTCTTAATTGTTAACACTTACCATATTCTGTTGTGACCTGTTAATATCAGATTTGTATTTTCAAGCTGTAAAATGTACTAAATTCTCTCATGCCATGGTTAAGTGTGTGAACTCTGAGTCTGTCTGTCTGGCTGTGATCTTGGCTCCACTACTTTTTTTTTTTTTTTTTTGAGATGGAGTCTCTCTTGCCCAGGCTGGAGTGCAGGGGTGTGATCTCAGCTCACTGCAACCTCTACCTCCCAGGTTCAAGTGATTCTCCTGCCTCAGTCTCCCGAGTAGCTGGGGTTACAGGCACCTGCCACCACGCCCGGCTAATTTTTTGTATTTTTTTAGAGATGGGGTTTCGCCATGTTGGCCAGGCTGGTCTTGAACTCCTGACCGCAGATGATCTGCCTGCCCCAGTCTCCCAAAGTGCTGGGATTACAGGCATGAGGCCCCGTGCCCGGCTGGCTCTACTACTTCTTAGTGGGTGGCACTGTGTGTGAGATTCAACCTCCTTGAGCCTTCTTTCCTATGAGGTGAGCCTACTTCATGGGGAATTATGAGGAACAACTGAGATAAGGCATAGAAAACATCCAACACATCTCACTGCCGGAAGGAAGATGATGATGTTATATATTTTATACAAAACTTAAACCTTAGAAAACTAATTGCAAATTTTAACTTTTAAACTGATTGCTTCTGCTTTCAAGAAGAGTGCCTGCCTGCAGATGCCTCTCATTTTTGTTTTCCTTTTGCTTTTTAAGACATGAAGTTGTCAACATTAACCTGAGAAACAAGCCTGAATGGTACTATACAAAGCACCCTTTTGGCCACATTCCTGTCCTGGAGACCAGCCAATGTCAACTGATCTATGAATCTGTGATCGCTTGTGAGTACCTGGATGATGCTTATCCAGGAAGGAAGCTATTTCCACACGACCCGTATGAACGAGCTCGCCAAAAGATGTTGTTGGAGCTATTTTGTAAGGTATATTCAATTTAAAAAAGCCACTCACACTCTATTTTACTTTGCATGTCTTTCCCAAACCTCAACCCATTTTAAAGCCAAATCATTGGTGAAACTGATTTGTTTTGATACCATGTGATCCTCAGGAGATTAGCTAGCATGGAATTAGGGTAGAGCATGGCCACTGATATTAAAGTTAAAGGCTTAACTGCTAGGTGCTTCTCCATTTCAACTGGCAGGCTCAGGAGGTATGGTTATGACATGGCAATGACCATGTGACTTGAAGCAGGCATATTGAAAGAACTGAAAACTGGTGATCCTTAAAGGGACAATTTCCCCGACTTCAGGTAAAAAGTAATGGAGTGTGACGATTATGCATAGAAGGTGATGGTCTTCTTTTTTCTTTTTTTTTTTTTGAGACAGGGTCTCGCTTTCTCTGTCACCCAGGCTAGAATGCAGTGGCATGATCTTGGCTCGCTGCCACCTTTGCCTCCTGGGTTCAAGCAATTCTGCTGCCTCAGCCTCCTGAGTAGCTGGGATTACAGGCACATGCCACCACACCCAGCTAATTTTTGTATTTTTAGTAGAGATGGGGTTTCACCATATTGGCCAGGCTAGTCTTGAACTCCTGACCTCGAGTAATCTGCCTGCCTCGGCCTCCCAAAGTGCTAGGATTACAGATATGAGCCACTGCGCCTGGCCAGTGATGCTCTTTAGAGGCATAGGAGTGCCTGCTGCCCAGGAAATGTGAAGAATAGATAAATGGTGGCAGATTTGATAATGAAAGTAAAAAGAATGGAGAAACTTTAAGATGATGTCTTTGAAAAGGAATTTTTAAAAAACTTCAGTGAGATTAACAGCTGACATATATCAAGCACTTATGATGTGCCAGGCACTGTCCTAATTACTTTGTAGGAGCTAACTCATTTAATCCAACTGCCCTTTGAAGTGGGTACTGCTATTGTATCCATTTTTCAGATGGGAACACTGAGGCTTAGAGAGGTTGAGTGTCCCACCTAAGAATGTATAGCATGGAAGCAGCTGATCAAGTAAGGAGCACTGGAGAAAGCCTCCTAAAGCACCCTGTTTTCCTAGGGTGCTGTGAGAAGCAGATTCCTACTTCTCATTAGGAATCTGGGATATGTCCGGGATATGACATTATCCCGGAACCACAGACATAACCTAGTGCCCCTCACAGGGAGCTGGGGGTTGGATGTGGGTGTTGCCCTGTTAGGCTGGAGTTATAAAGCTTTGCTGCCTTTTCAAGCAGAGCAGGAACTGGAAGTTTCCGCAGACTTCTCCACTGAGAACCTGTGTCCTCTGATTAGGTCCCACATTTGACCAAGGAGTGCCTGGTAGCATTGAGATGTGGGAGAGAATGCACTGATCTGAAGGCAGCCCTGCGTCAGGAATTCTGCAACCTGGAAGAGGTACAAAAAGGGGTCCCTCTCCTGGTCAGCTACAATGGAAGAAGCCAGGCAGGGTTGCTAACCTGGTCACTCTGACACCGGCCTTCACAGGCTTATTCTTTGTGCCTTTGATAAGTCAGACTTCTGATCATCTGATTACATGTTTGCCCTCCTCTAACGTGCTCTGGAATTATTCTGGAAAATCTGATGAGGAGTTGGGGAGGACATGCCATGAATTGCTTCCTTTCCCAGAGTCACCCCATCTTCCTGAGTATCTCTGCATGGCTTCTGTAGCTTCTGCCAATGAGGTCAAGGTCTGTAAAGGTTAGGGATTGTGTTTGGCTGCTGGAGTCTAACTACTGTAAATTCATGTTGTAAGGGTTTACTGTCTCATGTAACATTCTCTCACATATTATAACGGCTTATTGTCACATATACGGTGGCTCGCACCTGTGATCCCAGCACTTGGGGAGGCTGAAGCGGGAGGATCACTTGAGACCCAGGAGTTTAAGACCAGCCTAGGCAACATAGCAAGACCCCTACTCTACAAAAATAATTTTAAAAATTAACCAGGCATAACAATGCATAGCTGTAGTCCCAGCTACTTGGGAGGCTGAGGCAGGAGGATAGCTTGAGTCTGGGAGGTCAAGGCTGCAGTCAGCCATGATTGCACCACTGCACTCTAGCCTGGGTGACACAGTAAGTAAGACTGACTCAAAAAAAAAAAAAAAAGCCACAGCTAGGCAATTCAGGCCTATTTTGATGGCTTCTTTATGACATTATCAGGAACTGAAGCTCTTTCTCTTTATGGGCTCTGTCATCCTTAGCGCAACTTAGTACAAGGCTATCATCCTCAAAATAACAAAATAGCTGCTGTCACTGCAGCCATCACATCCAAGTTCCAGGCTCTGAAAAGCAGAATATAAAGAAAAAAATGGCAAATGGCCATGCCCCTTTTAAGGGCTTTAAATCCTACCAGAAATTCTACCCAATGGCTATTTACATTTCATTGGCCAGAACTTAGTTGCAGGGTCATGACTATCTTAGGGAAAGCTGGGAAATATAGTCTTTTAGCTGGGTTACCCTGAATAAAATCAGGGATCTGTAATTAAGGAAGAAGGGGAAAATGGGTGCAGTGGCAGGAGCACTCTTTGCCAGTAGATCCTTCATTAACCCGGCAGTAATGGAACTACTTATCCCATACTTCTAGAATAATCTGGAAGGCAGTTCTTTTACTCCCATTGTTTCTTTTGTTCCAGAAACTAATAAATTCACCTTATGGGTGGGTGGTTCCTCTATTGGCAGCCAGAGAATACGATTTTTTTCCCCTTAAGGGAAGACTGGTTATTAATACTCTTCTATTTGACCTTTATCAAGTGGAAACAGATTAAATGTATTGATATTTCCAGTTGCCTATCTCAGATTTGTACAGTTAAGTTATGGATGACGAATGGTCGTGTGTAGGAAATGTCAGTCTTTTGTCCTGAGGTCACCAACTGTGGCCTTGACCCCAAGGAGGCCGTATGATGTGGTGGAAAGAGTCTTGGATCTTAGGCTTGGCTTTACTAAATTCCAGAACCTTGGGCAATGTTCTGTACCTCTCTGGGCCTTGGTTTTCCGGTGTGCAAAATGAGGGATTATTTTGAAATGTGCGTTCCTCAGAGCCTCTGGGTTCTGCAGTGGGTTCTCCACTCAACTTCCCAGCGAGTGGAGGCCTGGTAGATGGTTCCAGACACTGCTTCACTCAGGTCAGCACTGCCTTTAACCACCATGTTCAACCTCAAGTCTAAGAAGATGGCATTTGGGGAGAAAGGAGAACTGCTGCTTTAAAAAAGAAGTTCAAAAAATCTTGTGACTAGAGAATTTATAGTCTTTATTTCAAAGATCAGCTGAATGGACCCCATCATGCCTGGTTACCTTCTCACAGATAAACAAATACTTGACCAGGGAAAGGAGCTGGGGGAAAAAAACCCCTTTGAATTCAAAGATACAGTAATTGAAACATTTTCATCCGTTTCCCTCCTACCTGCATTTGGATGATGGGTGAACTTTTTAAATTATAGATTGCTAGATGAAAGTATAGGGTTATGATGAAGATACAGTTATTCAGTTGGGGGTCTTTCCCAGGGCAAGTGAACCAGTATTTTGTGCCATGAATCATGCTGCAGATACTTTGCATACATCATCTCATTGAATCTTGCCAACAACCTTCTCAGTTACAAATGGTACTAGTCCTGTTTTGCAAATAAAGGCTCAGAACTATGTACTAGGAATAAAAAATATTAAAGACCTTCAAGGGGCTCAAAGCCTGGATGGGGAGATAGGCTGTTAAGCCCATTTAAAACCTGGGTGTGTTGAGTGCTAGGCTGGAGACATGCATACGAGAAGGCTGGTCTGTGGGGGTAGATAATGCCTCTGTTGACTCTTAGGATGAATTAGAGGCACAAGGGTGAGAGCCTGGTGTGTTTGGCAAACAGTAACCAGTGAGGGGTTGCCAGCGAGGGAGTGATTGATAAGAGGCGAATGTGGAGGGTGGACCAGAGTCAGACGCTGAACGGCCTTTTCCACTGTGCCTGGGGATTTGTACTTTATTTCAGAGTTGATGGTGAGTAATTGAAGCCTGTCAAGCAGGAGAGTGGTATACTCCTTCATGCTTTTAAGAGTATTCAGCCCATCACTTGCACCCAGGATGGGGAGGTTGCCGTGAGCCAGGACTGCGCCACTGCACTCCAGCCTGGGCAACAGAGTGAGACTCTGTTTCAAAAAAAAAAAAAAAAGGAAGAAAGAAAAGAAAAAGTATTCAGCTCAGCTGAGCACAGTGGCTCAAGCCCATAATCCCAGCACTTTGAGAAGCCAAGGTGGGAGGATCCCTTGAGCCCAGAAGTTTGAGACCATGCTGGTCAATGTGGCGAAACTCTATCTCTTTAAAAATACAAAATGTTAGCTTGGCATGGTGGCTTATCCCTGTAGTCCTATGTACTTGGGAGGCTGAGGTGAGAGGATCACCAGAGCCTAGGAGGTTGAAGCTACAGTGAGCTATAATTTCACCACCGGACTCCAGCCTGGACAACACAGTGAAACCCTATCTCAAAAAAAAAAAAAAAAAAGAAGATGTTCAGCCCAGCAAGAGTATAGAGGATGGATTAGAGTGGCCAAGAGCAAGGACTGGGAAGGGACAAAGAGGGCCCCACTAAAGAGGGTTGGAGAGGGAGGTTTAATTAGAGAGATTTTGAGGGACTAAGATGAGATGAAATCTGAGGAAGGAGTAGGAGTTACCGAGGATGGTTTCCAAGTTTGTGGCTGGTAAATGTGATGCTTTTCACTAAGAGTTTGAGGGAGGACACATTTTGTCAAATTTGAGGTGTTGATGGGATATTCATATGTGGGCAGAGCTTAGAAGAGCAACGTATGGTCTCTACTGGACCTTTGGAATGGTTTTATGGGCTAGGAGCTTTAACCAGAGAGTTTAGGAATGTCATCAGCGATGTGGTGATAAATGTTTAACAATCAATTTTCTCTTAAAAGAGAAAGAAAAAGAAAAAGCACTGATTTATAGCATTTGCTGATTTGGGTGGTGTAAATACTTCCGCCAAGGCTAATTTTGAGCTACCAATGTGCTATCTCTAAACTCAAGAGCTGGCAAAAGATGTGGGCAGCTCCAGCATGTCATTGAATAAGAAATTTCACTTTATCTTCAATAACTGAGCCCCAGAAACACCATTGTTAACCAGCCTCTGCATAGGTAGCTTTCACTAACCAGCCTTGGTGTAGGTAGCTTTCACTGATGCTATTTAAGGAACACCGGGTATTCCACATTGTTCTAACAGGTTTGAATGTGGTTTTGTCCCATAGACTGTTAGCAATAATTGTAACTATGGCTGGGCGTGGTGGCTCACACTCGTAATCCAGGCACTTTGGGAGGCCAAGGAGGGAGGATCACTCGAGGCCAGGAGTTCAAGACCAGCCTGGGCAACACAGTGAGACCATGTCTTTACTAAAAATAAAAAAATTAACTAGTCATGGTGGCGTGTGTCTGTAGTCCCAGCTTCTCTAGAGGCTGAGGCGGGAGCATCTCTTGAACCCAGGAGTTTGAGCTTGCAGTGAGCTATGATCATGCAACTGCACTCCAGCCTGGGTGACACAGCAAGACCCTGTCTCGAAAACAAACAAACAAACAAAGAATTATAACTACAATGTAGGAAATATTGAAATCTGAAAACATGACCAATGAACTTGAATTATGTGATCTGTTCCTTTAAATGCCAATATATTTATTCTAGGAGAGTCTAGTGAAATTGAAATTTGTCAGAATAATTTTAATGGAGATGATCCCCTGATTTATGCAACTCTTTCACATGATTTTGCAAAGTCAGGATTTTTTGTGAGCTAAAAATATTTTAAATACTCATTGTCTTTCTGAGTGATAAGCAAGCCAAGATTTCATGTATAATCTTCTGCTATGTTATCCTCAAACAAAAGGTCAGTTCACCTTTTGTGGCCTTAAACTCTGACACTTTCTTCTTTTGAAATAACTGCCTTGTCTAACTTTCGAAGTTTTTTTTGTTTGTTTGTTTGTTTGTTTTTGCTTGTTTTTTGTTCGTTCATTTGTTTGTTTTTTAAATCTGGTTTCAGGTGGGTTCAGTGGCTCATGTCTGTAATCCCAGCACTTTGGGAGGCCTAAGCGGGCAGATCATTTGAGCCCAGGAGTCCGAGACAAGACTTGACAACATGGCAAAACTTCATCTCTACAAAAAATACAAAAATTAGCTGGATGTGGTGATGCACACCTGTGGTCCCTGCTACTTGGGAGGCTGAGGTCGGAGGATCACTTGAGTCCAGGAGGTCAAGGCTGCTGTGAGCTTTGATCATGCCACTGCACTCCAGCCTGGGTGACAGAGTGAGACTCTGTCTCAAAAAAAAAAAATTAAGTTCCATCAAAATCAAATATTTATTATGCTTGTTATATAACCGCATTTTTCTCTATTATCTTTTACAATTCTTTGAGATATATTACTGCCACT